TGCCGATTGATTGGTGCCCTAAACAGTGCGCAAACTCCGCTTCAGTCTGTATGTTCATATATACATACATATACAATCTATATCTACAACATACTTATTTTGTGACAAATTTCTCCCCTAACAACTAAGCCTCACAGATATAGTATCCGAAAAAAGCGTTTCTTAAATCCAGGCGAACAAAATTAAATAAATAAGGCAAATAATATATTTAATATATATTAGGAATTTGTTCACTTTCACCGCACCAGTTACGAGAGGTCTCTGAAATGTAATCCTCTCTAAAACACTCATTACCTGTAGTAGCCGAATTATGATATGATATGATTATGAATTATGTATTCTATTGTCAAATGACAAGTAATAACTTTATCAAATATAAATTATTGTATCTCTGAATATCTTCAGCTATTTCGCAAATATCAATTCTTAAGCATCAATTGAAGCAAAAAAAATTTACAATGATGAAGATTCAATGTAAAGATAGTGTTAATGCCTGGAGATATTCTTTATCAGACCCAATAAAAATTCTTCTCATTTTAAACTCAATTTAAATAGCAGATTTGAATACCAGGGTCTAGGAGCTCAAAGTGCATGCATAAAACCCATCAAGCTTAATCTTAAAGTATTCGTTACTCCAGTATTTTAAGTTCTACGAAACAATAGTACGGAACTGTCTTAGTCTACTAAGATTTGAGTGGAAGGACAGAGAGTAGAATAGATAGTATTATTGCAATGCCAGAAATATGCAGATCTGGCTAATGCCACGTTTGTCTGATTGTTTCATATGGACAGTTTGTATATGATTTTTGATTTAATTCACTAAATTTATACCCATACATATAATAGATACATATTTCAACACTATTAAATATATTATTGGGAAGTATAGCGACATCATCATCATTCACGAAATGGAACTACAAATGAACAAAAACAATAATTAAACATGCCTCTAATCTGATGCATATCGTTAAAACTGACTTTGCTCTACTTGATCATCAAAAGTTAGCTAACTTACTGGATCCTCCATTGACTTTGTTATAATTATAACCCATAGAGTTTAGATTCTTATCAGTACACAGTATAGTACATAGATTCTAGGCACATTTAATTTAAGTCGCTCCAGTGAGCATGACCGAAACTATTCCAACAAAGGCCTGGTGTCCAGAGATCTGATGTTTGCCCCAACGCAGCTGAGAGAGCTCCAACTGAACAAGCGGAAAGGCTGGGCCGAGGGCTTTCGCTTGACACCTTTACAGACGGCAAAGCGCCATCGACACAAGCGCGAGCGCTGGCCCCTATTTACCTGTAATCTGTGCTGCTGCCTCTAATATTGCCGCGCCAAGCACTTCCTTCAGTGGTGCTAACACCGCTAATTGATGTGGCAAACAACGCGTGCTGGCCCATTGTCGCACCGCTAATTCAAACACGCAAAGTCACATCGCATGTGCGCATCTCTACTGCAACGAGAAACAAGAAATGCAGTGTATTCTCCTCTTTGAAAATAACCTAAAATATTTATTATCATTGTTTTCTATTAATAAATGCTCTAGAAATAAAAGTTAGCGAAAAGTTATATTAATGTGTTTCTGGCGATAGCTGGAATAGAGCTAATCTTTGATCTCTCAGATATTTCGGGTTTGCTACGCTCCCGGCACGCGAGGAAGGCTGAATATTTCAAGAAATATTTCAAGAAATTGATAAATATGCAATAGAATATGTAGATAATATAATCTGATACGAGAATTTATTAATTAAAATATTTCCCAATTGGCAAAAGCATGTGAAATTACGTGTATTCTTCCAATTTGAAGAATCGCAATTAATAAATTGGTAGAGCAAAATAGACTCAGCTGTCCTGTTCACGAATATACATATATATTTAAAATACATAGTTTAAGACGTATCCTTACCCATTGAAAATGAGAATTGAAGAAGAACAAGTAAGACAGCTATAGTAAAGACTGCTCGACTACGAGATCCCCTGAACCCTTCGAGCAACTGATATTTTAATAATTCTTTACATCTATCTGCTTACACATGAAATACATACACACACACACACTCACAGACACAAACTTAATTGTATGATAAATTTTCTTGTGGATGTACTTTCTTCATGAAACTTTATATTGTGATTGTATCATTAAAATGCGTGCATTTTCCAAACAAAAATCGAAATTCTATCATATACATATGAATTTACATATAAAAGTTGGCGATTTTGGCTATAAAGGTATTGGAGATATATTGAAATAACTTATTTTCGAAATTGTTTTAATCGATCAAAAAATGCGAAATTAGTTATTTATTTTTGGAGATAAACTCGATTAACGCGCTATATATACGAGCATTTAAAAAAAAATCAAATCTTTAGCCCTTATATTTTCTGAAATCGACGAGTTCAATCATAGGTACAGACAGACGGACGGACAGATGGACTGACAGGGCTAAATCGACTCAGCTCATCGCCCTGATGAAGAATATATATACTTTGTGGGGTCTGCCACGCCTTCTTCTGCCTGTTACATACATTTCAGCAGCACTTCGAGCACTCCAGCATTTGCGAAATGGTTTCTGGCTTTGGGGTTGGAGAGAGGCCTGCACCGGCCGTTCCCGTACTTATGGGGAGAAAATGGAAAATTCGATGCCACGCCTTCTTCTGCCTGTTACATACATTTCAACAAAACCATTATACCCTTATTTCCCATATTCAATGGGTTCAGAGTATAAAAGTTATCACAAGAAATATAATAAATATATATATAAATAAATAAATATAATAAACTTCGTTAGCTCTGCACAAAATATATTTGGAGTCTCTCGCTATTGTGAATTACAGACAAGCCGCAGATAAAGACGAAGAAACACAGATTGATCAACTCATCTCGTTCTTTTGATTTATGAAAATGGTTTTGTTTGATCCTTAACTTCAATCGCCTATCAACTTGTCCTGAGTTGTTCAGGTGTCTATGGGACCTTCAATGGATCATACATTCAGCTATGCATGATCTGTTCAAATAGTTAAGAACTAAAACTTCAAGCTCTTTAATTCCTCTTAGCTATAAACGAAAAAAAAAAAAAACACAAAATAATAGTCAAAGTCAATTAAACCTGATGATGATACAGGGTGGAGTAAAAGTAATCGCCCGATTCGGTTTCCTTAATCCATTTAAATTTCTTTTAAATCAAATCCAGAAAATGATTTTGATAGGGTTTAGCATTCCTGGTGAATATTCTCCTTAAGGCCTGCAATACTCTAATATACTCATTGACTCATTGACCCCATGAAAAGGAGTATGAATCAAGTATTCTGGGTAAATCAAGTCATCCGATCGAACAGAAACGTCAGATTGTTTCTTCTGGATCAGATGACCTGATTTAAACAGAATATCTGATTCTTACTTTTTATTATGCAATTTCAATCAAATCACAATCCGCGATTTTGGCACAAGCAAGTCGATTCCTATTCCTCGTTTGTTCAACTCATATTTGCAAAAATTTGCATAAATTATACTTATTTCCACTAGTGTGATTTCTATTGTCCCACCGCATATATACATATGTCTAAAAGTCGTAGAAGTCTAGATGTGCAATATCCGATTGTAGATCTATCATTTATGGAAGTTAACAAAGACCAGTTCCAATAAATGAAGTTTCGCAGGCTCAAGGACCACAAGAGCCCAGCTCCTAATTAGGTTAGCTAAAAAGACTTATTTCGGAAAAAGTATTTGCATAAGACTCGAAGCGTGTTTGAGAGATTAACAATAAATGTGGCGATTAGAGTCAAATATTTAGACTCTGTGCCATGTCAAACAAAAGGAGTTTCAAACCGGAACAGATGGGAGTGGCGTTGCCCTGCCTTTGCGTTTGCCTTTCCCGTTGCCGTCGGAATCGGGAGCGACGATTTCCTTTTTTGTTGCCGCCGCCAACGGTAATGTTTAAAGCCGAACTCGCACTTCACGCCTGATTTGCATTTGCTTGCGACTCGAAGAACGTGCGAGGCCTCGTCTTGGCCATGGGAACTGTGATTTATGACAGCCAATCGATCCTAGACGTCAACTCCATCGGATGGCTACAGAGACTGAACTGAGCTAGTGGACTTTAGCTTAGACTATATCGCAAGTGCTGAAAAGTGAATTTGAATTTTCCGCATTGATATTGATTGATTTCTGTGAAGATCTGAGTTGATCAAGGGAACAGCCATATTTCTACATTGAGGGCTGATCCGAAATGGCTTTTAAGATGGCCGCAGCACTTCGAGCACTCCAGCATTTGCGAAATGGTTTCTGGCTTTGGGGTTGGAGAGAGGCCTGCACCGGCCGTTCCCGTACTTATGGGGAGAAAATGGAAAATTCGATGTCGCCATAAACATTTATTGCTACTTTGGAAAAACTCGATTACAGACGAAAGCGGACAGAGGACAGACGGCAGAGGATAGAGGGTAGAGGGTAGCCAGCAGCCCACACTGGACCGACGGACTTTGACTCTAATGCCAATGCGCAGCCGCCATTTTATGGGCCACGCCTGGGCACTTATGGCATCATCGGAGCGGTGGCAGCACATGGCGTGGCTGGCCTGAATCCTGGACCCTGGACCCATGCTGACAGCCGACTGCTCATCAGGTTCCCCTGAGCTGAAACGGATTTTGTGCTTAGTCAGGATGTGAAGATGCGAAGATGTGAGGCTGTGAGGCTGTGAGTATGCCAAAACGATACACACTCGAGCTCGACTGCAGTTTTATTGATGCTGCCACTTGGGAAAATGTATACAATTTTCATTTTTATAACTTTTACGCTCCAACGCACGTCTGCCGTCTTCAGCCCGTCGCGGTCGGCCATAAAACGAATAAATGCTCGCAGCCATAAAACTTTATGGGCCCAAGCACCCAAATTGGGTTTGCGCCATAGCGAAGTTTTAAGCGAATATTTTGGCATCGGAAAGGAGCATTTGATTCGCGCATTCGCTGGGGCCGAGAGCGAGAGAGAAAGACATAGAGAGGGAGAAACTTGTCAAAAACTTTCTCTACTCCAAACACAAAACTCACTCACTGTCGAAATGAACAAATACATTAGTCTTATAATATTCACCGTATTCTGGGCCCTGTTCGCCATCATTGGGTGCATCGTCGCCATTCGCTTCAAGGAGCGCTCGATCATACGATGCTGCGTTTTGCTGACGGCCACCTGCTGCTGGATCGTTTGGCTCGTCACCTTCGTAATGCAAATGAATCCCCTGGTCGGCCCGCGCATGCACCAACCCGTTTTATTGGCAATGATGTCCTATTGGAAGAGATCCTATATGCACGACAAGCCTGACCCCTAGTGGCCCTAGGTGCCTCGAAATTTGTTTTTATCAGTATTATGCACTTACTTCACTTCTTAAATGTGTTTGGATAATGTAATTTATAATGCTTTCCGTGCAACACGTACTTTCTCTGACTGCATTGAAAATATTTACTTTAGCAAACAGCAAGTTACTAACTCTGAGCGGAAATTAATATAAATTATACAAACCATTATCCTACAAGGAATACAAGTGAATATACAATAACTTCGCATATAGTAAATCGTATTATATGGTAAAGGCTATTAGTAGCAAACGGATGGACAGATGCGTAAACAGACAGTCCGGCGTACACCAAAACATCTGTTCATAAAAAAAGTTTTATCTGAAAGAGTTTCAGGCCATTGATCTCTTCTTCCGCATCTAAGGTTTGGATGCTAGGCGCATCAATATTTGAAAATATACAACTTTTGACTTCCACTCAAAACATCACATTGAGGGCACGCCGAATCGCAAAAACTTATTTAATTCAAATAAAGATAACAAAAAATAAAAGAAATAGCATTGTTCAAATAAGTTTTTTAACCATATAATTTAATACACTAGGTGCAAATTCACCTGACATGCGGAACTGTTATTTATAATCTCTTGATGGATTAACTTTGTTAGAAACTAAGGACTGATGCACTCTGGTCGTGTTGAATTTCCATATAAAGCGCCATCTATGATGTGTTGTGCCAACTTTTACCCAGTACATAAGCCATCGACTAGTTGCAGTCTGCTAAGAGCTGCCCGCTATGAAACTCTCAATATTGTGGTGAAACAAAACTCAACAAATTCAAGAATTTAATAAATGGCATTTTGGCTAAGCAAAAATCTTTAAACACCATCCGCACTTAAAGATTTATATTTATATATGCATATATATATATGTATATACATATCAAATAAAATCAAACAAATAATAACTTTTATTAACTCATAAATAGACTAAGTTGCTTATTAATAACACCAGGTCATCATAAATCCAGTTCATCCAGCAAACGTAATATAAACTTAGATTTCAACCGCCAGCAGAGCGTCAACCACTTGATCAGTATCTATGATCAAAAGAGAGAAATATTAATACAGTTTTCTGTTATTGGATATGTGCTTACCTGTAATAGTTCGCCTTAAAGGGCCCTGCTTTGCTCAAGCCCAAGAATTTCGCCTGTGAGTCGGTTAACTCCGTCAGATGGGCATCAAAAGTCGACAAATGCAGACTAGCCACATATTCATCTGAGAACGGGCAACACCAAATAGAGATACATCAATTGTTATACAACTATCAAAAGGAATAGTTACCCATTTTTTTTGGCAGTAGGTAGACATCCGACTTGTATCGTCCGGGCGCTGAATAAAGCTCAATCAGAGCTAAGGCCTGTGTGGACGACGCCACCGAGACGACAAAGGAGGAGATGGTGGAGCAGGACAGATTTACCAAACGTCCTTCGGCCAGGAGAATGATCATCTTGCCGTCAGGCCAAATAATGTGATCCACCTGGGAGCGCACTCGCTGCCAGGTCAACTCCGGCGTGTGCAGGCTGCTCACGTCTATTTCGGAGCACGAATGGCCCATGTTGCAGACGATGCACCCGTTCTTCATGCGATTCATGTGATCCCGTGTGACAACATGTTTGTTGCCGGTTGCGGTTATCACCACATCTACCGTCCGTATGACCTCGCCCAAGCGCACCACTCGATAGCCGTTCATGGCCGCTTGCAGTGCGCATATCGGATCCACCTCTGTGATGTATACCACACAGCCCTGCCCCCGAAGGGCCTCGGCGCAGCCCTTGCCCACATCCCCGTAGCCGCAGACCACAATCTGCTTTCCGCCAAACATAATGTCCGTCGTACGCTTCAAGCTAATTAGAAATGGGGTGGATTAACTGATTTCACAGCCTGTCTGCTACTTACCTGTCCAGTATGGAGTCGCGGCATGTGTAGTACGTATCGAACTTGTTTTTCGTTACCGAGTCATTGACATTGATCGCTGGCACAGTTAGCTTGCCCGCCTTCGACATCTGAAACACGAGGGATATCGGGTTCGATAGGTGGGCGAGTATGCGATGTATGGATGGTTACACTCACCTGGTACAGCCTGTGCACACCTGTCAAGCTCTCCTCCACAATGCCCTTGATGGACTTGAAATAGTCCGGGTACTTCTTAAGCATCAGATGCGTAGCATCGCCGCCATCGTCGAGGATCATGTTCGGCTGCCAGCCTTCTTTGTGGATGCACTTGTCCAGGCACCACCAGAACTCCTCTTCAGTCTCGCCGCGCCACGCAAAGATGGGCACCCCGACCTCCGCTAATGCCGCTGCCACGGCATTTTGGGTCGAGAAGATGTTGCACGCTGCCCAGCGAACAGATGCACCCAGTTGAATCAGAGTCTCGATGAGAACCGCCGTTTGGGCATTGACGTGGGTGCAACCCACAATCTTTGCGTTCTTCAGCGGCTTGTCCTCGGCCGCACGTTTGCGTAATGTCATGATACCCGGCATCTCCTGCTCAGCGATCTCGATCTCCCGGCGCCCGAAGGATGCCTTGCCAATATTTTTGACGCAGAAGTCAGAGCTGCCGCTTGAGTTACTCTGCTTGGCATCTTTCGGCGAGATCTCGTCCTCATCGGAGCTGCCAGTGAAGCAGGCTAGAAACGGGAACAACAATTAGATCGATTCAACCTTTCATTATCTACGACTCACCTGAACTAAAGGAACACGTGGATACATCGGAAAATCGACGAGCTTCAATCCTCGATTTACTCACTGGTGTCTGGTGGTGGAAGGGAATCGTTAGTGTTGCGTATGCAGTCTCTACTAGGAATTTGATTAAATTTAGTGTAATCTACGGATACAACAAAAACAAATCGCGGAAAAAGCAGAGCAACAGCTCACAGCTGGTGGTAATTGGCATCGTTTAGAGTATCGATGATAATTCGTAGCGCCAATTGACGCTGTGTAATCGCGTCTTCAAGACATCACATGCCAATATTTAAGTAAACGAACAAATTAATCAATTCAGCAAATGTGTGCTTTGCATTTGTATCCCAGCCCATTTGCTAACTAACTTGTGTACATTTCCATAGCCGACTTCAATAAACATTCGACACATTCGCACTCACATCTAGATCACATACCGACGCACACCTGCACAACTGCTTGTGTCTATAGATATACGTGTGTGTGCATGTGTTTGTAGATACATCATCAATACATATGCATGTAGAGCTTGTTCTTTATATCATTTAATGCCCTGTTCACAATGGAAACCTGTCATATTGGCTTCAAGATAATATTCATCCGCACAAAGCGAAGTAAATTATTGTAGTGCACAGAAAACGAAATTCTTCCTTAGTTTACACATAGAACTGATTAAAGTGTATATAAACATGCACATGCCAATCACAAGTGCCCTCATATAGCGAAAATACATATAACAGTCTAGGACTGGGTATGGCGCAGTCGGATGCACTCGCTCTCACTTGTTTTTTCTATTACCACTCACACACACACATACACATTTATACAAATGCGCTATTCGATAGTTTCATATGCCAAATATTTGATTATCAGGACTTTCAATTTTGCATACTTTAATGGGTTGAGGTGAGGAACCAGCAAATTGGTTAGACGATTTACTTACCTTATCGGCCAAGCTCAGGTCGGCAAATGTCGTCTCCGGCATTTTACTCATCTTGCAGACACGTTTGGCTGAAAATTATACAATAAATACTGAATATTAACATCGCTGGGGCTATCGACCTTCGATCCAATCACACATAGCCAATGAACAAACTGGTTCTATACACAATATATTTTTCAAGTTTGTCAACAATCGCCGTTGTGTTTTGTTTTTTTACTTTCTGCCTTTTCTCAATCAGCTGTTTAAAGCGTGAAACGTAAAGCGCAAAGCATACACGGCGAAGCACGTGACCGACCGCTCGCTGAGGGAATACCAGCGTCAGTAGCCATAGCGATCGAGCACTGACTAGAATGGCCTGTCACAGCTAAAGCTCTCTCACCAGTCCGTTCTTATGAAGACCTCGGCACAGCTGGGCCTAATGCACTTCACTATATCTGTCTCGCCTTCTTCCTAGTCGCACTCTTCGCTCTCGCCTTCACTGTTGTCTACGTCACAGTTACACGGTCTCCTTTTCCTACTCCTCCTTCCTTCTACCTTCGGTTACTGCGTCACAGTTCCTGGATGTCCCTCTCCTTGACAGTCTCCCTCTTCACACTCGTCTTCGTCGTTGTCTACGTCACCGTTACTGGGTCAAGTGCGAATGTGGAATGCCGAGTCTCGCGATGCCTTCGTGTGCTCTTGTCTGCCGCGAACAACAAACTGATTCACATCAACTGGTACTGCTTATGTTTATGGGGAGCAGAGCGATCGTACAGAAATAAGGCAATAATACAAACAAAGAACGCAAAGCGAATGCAGCAACTAACTGGGCAGAGAAATTGCTCATACACATGCACATACACACTCACACACAGTGGACCTACAGAAATATACATCTTATCTTACTTAAAGCTATTATCGCTCTTCAATGTTGCCTCTCTCTCTCTCACTCTCTCTCTCGCTCCCTCTCCCGCCATCGCCCCTTCTCTATCTCCACGCTCTATCACTCGGTCTCTCTAACTCTCAGATCGGTTAGATGACAGAGGAATCTTCACAGTACGAATCGCTTGAACCGCGCGCTTATCAAAAACTTGACTCATATTGTGGCTATGCCAATTATGAAAATCAATTGGGCTCTTGACGTACGTAGATATAAAACCAAAATTAACTCGGCGAATGAGATATATTAGAACAATAGTCTTGAATTGTTCAATAAGAGCATTTAATTTTATTGCGACTACCTGAAAACACCAACGTATGTGTAAGTCCTTCAGGTAACTTATCCAAGATTACTGCCAGCCTACAGTTGCATATATATATATATATATATATATATATATATAAGATAAAAATAATATTATGATATTAATATTAAGTTCAATTTATATTCTACAGTATTAAAACTAATTTCAGTTTAAGCTTTTTACTCTTGTTCACAAATAAAATAATATACGGGTTTTTAAATAATTTTTTCTTGGCTCTTGAATCTAATTGATTGAATGTATATTCGTGCTACAATGACAAATTGGGAAACAAGCATTAACTATAATATTTAAGGTGCCTTTGGCGCTAATAATAAATAACTCTAGATCGACATCGATCTGGAATATATATCAAAGCCTGTAGAGACATAGGAAATGATACAAATGTAAATCTTTTAGCGCTTTATAACTGACTAAAAATTGTATATTAAATTATAAATGCGAATCCAATGCTTTTATCACGATTAACAGTCATAAGAGCCCTAAGTAGTATAGTTATTATATTTTTATATATAAATTTTATACTATTATTAATAGTTATACGTCTTGGTATTTATATACAATATATGCGTCTATTGAATCGGGACCAATCGGGACAAACTGTATTTCTTCTTCAGTTATACTAATTCCTATTATTTGGGCTTCTGTCCAAAACTTGACCTTCGCTATTGGTTTATCAAAACTTTTATATATTATGTATGTCTATGTCGGTTGTCCGCGTGAAACGGGAATCGGATAAGTGTTTACCTCACACACAGATAGGCAGATAAGATATATGGCCTACCCATAAGGTGAGATAATTCAGAAAATATAGATTTCAGTTATAAATACGATTGTTTTAAACAGTGAGTAGCTGTTAGGTTTCGACTTACTATTGATAGGATACCTTTTGCTTACCCTTCAATGATATAATAACGAAATTCGGAGTTACTTGATTTTTTAATGGCTCGTTTTCAACATTTAACGCCTAGTTATATGTATAGTTTTATAGTAAATATAATTAAAAACACTTATTTATACTTTATATATTCATATGTTTAATCGTAATCGTTTGCATGTATCCTAATCTTCTAATCTTAAATGCATGCTTGCCTCAAAAAAAAAAAAGAAAAAAACCTTATTGGTTTTTAGCGAATAGTTGTTATCCGATTATCTGGAGCTCGGATTATTTAGGGTTGCTCATTAATTTTATGATCGACGTGCCGTTCCGCCATTTTAGCTGTTTATGCCCAATGGCTTGACTGCACAAAAATTTAATTAGACGCCCATATACCTTTTAGCATGTTCGTAAAATGGTGGGAATTCAATAAAGAGCCCGAAATGAATCATCCACCATCAAACAACGCTGCGGATGCTGCGCACAACCTATGAGACACATTCCCCCGCTGCGGGGGTTGAGTGCATTGCAAAATGGCCCAGTCAGTCCGAGCGGTCGGTTAGAGAGGGATGAAGCAGAGACCAAAAAGACCTAATAACTTATAATGTTTTATTGTGAATTTCCTCGAGAGATTCTATGCACTCTTAGGTGCTACCGTTGATTGTATTTGATAAACATTTATTATGGGAAAAATTGAATTGAATTAGTGTATAGTCGAGATTTTACAAAATAATAGGACGGTTTGATAGAGGAATACCACATCGAACAAATCTATATCATTCTAATTACATCTTTACTAGATTACGGTAAGAGGTATATCGCACTACTTTCTTCCTAGGATGTTGGGTGTTAAGAATCAGAAATTTCGTAATTGCTTTTTAGAGCCTGTCTCACACACCCACACCCATATCCACTCTCTTATAACAAATTTGTAAAAGGCGTACTACAAATACCAGAGACTTTTGCTTTATAATCATGATTTGAAAGTGTCACGAAGATAGTCAATCTATAAAAAAGTTATTAAATAATTGAGCTTCCATAGTAAGCCCACAGTGCAGGCCATGCTGTTACGAGATCACCATGCCTTCGAGAAATACAGTGGCTAAAGAAAACTAAAATAACTGCCCTTTTCCATGATCGCAGCCTATTTCGTGCATTTCACTTTCAATGACTTTATTGCCCAAAAATTCTTAAATTAGGATTTTTTACCTTCTTTTTGTTTAATCACCTGTTTTAAGAATGATACCATCGAGTTTAACAATTTTCGGGTGACTTCCGACCCGATTCATGTTTTTGGACATTAGCCTGATAAAATCGGGATCGCCCTTCTAGACTAAGTTCTTCGGAACTATGGACTGAATTCTCATTTGAAAAGTATAGATACATATACTTGTTCATATTACCATCTATGGAAACTAAGTCTAAGACTGCCGAGGACGCCTTGCAGACCCAATCATGACACTGCCACCGCCATAGCTCATAGTTGGTTTTAGGTGCTGATCATGATCTGTATTTGGTGGCCGCCAAACATATTGCATCCAATCCGACCCATATACATATATGCAGATGAGTCGAAATTTAATACATTTGCGTCGGATTGGATAAACCTAAAACCAACTGGATATGCACAAAATTTCAAGTCTCTAGCTCTTATATCTTCTGAGATCGATGCGTTCATACATAGGGACGGACAGAAAGACGGACATGGCTAAATCGACTCAGTTCGTCGCCCTGATTAAGAATATATGTAATTTGTGGGGTCTACCTGTTATATACTTTTAACAAAACTATTATAGCCTGATACCCCATTGAAAATGGGTTCAGGGTATAAGAACCCAGGAAAAATCGACTATATTTTATCAAAATATTGTCAGCAAATTCTTATCCATATTTACAGTATTTGACACTAAACTTTAATTTCACGATTTCACCAATTTGCAGCCGACATTCAGAATAAGACATACCAAAATAGTGTAAGTCTACATAATGCTAAATACACCCAGATCAAGAATATATATATACATACGTATATATTTGACCAAACCAGACAATACAATTACATTATAGATTGATTTCCATTTTCAATGGGTTCAAGGAATACATATGTAGAGAAGCTTATACATATATATAAATTGGAGGAGTAAACGTTACCTTTTGCCCAATTGCAATTCACTGAGCTAGATTTAAATCTACTTGACAAATTCGTAGAGCTATTAAATTTATAAAGAATTACTTTTGGTTGAACATTGTGACATACGTACACATGCTTACATATATAATTAAATGACAACGAATTGTTTTTATAAATCAGTTCAGACGTCCGTCTGAATTTTCTGAATTTTGATCAATAAATCAAAAGTTTATTCTTATCTCATATACAATTTATCACAGCACCGCAATTCGGCAACAACACCAACTGCGGCGATTAAGTAGGTAAATAGTAATGCTCGCCAGATGCGCTTAGTTTATTATTATTGAACATTGCTTGTTTGTACTCATGTAATTAAAAATAAAAAACATTTTGTTTAATCAAAAACAGTCTGTTTAATTAATTCGCCACTAAAGCCTTAGATTTGAGTCTATTAACATATATGAATTATTTACATTCGTATTTACAGATTGTAACATTACTTAAATCTACGCCTTTCTATGTACATAAAGCTACTTAATACCGTCGATGATTTACAATTCACATACAAATGACTATGGATACGTAATATATACTATATATTATGATCTGCTCTCAAATCGTGCCGACCTTATCCATGAGGTACCAGGGCAGGAATACGGAGGCAGCTACAACGGCAATACACGTGGCACAGAGGGCAATTGTTGTGGATAGGTTTGTGGCCGAGAAGTTTTCGTCTTTGTGATCCAGGTCTTCGTTTGGATGTTTTTCAAATTCCAAAACCTCCACATCGAATCGAAATCGAACCTTTGATGATGGCGACTCCTTACGCCACACCAAATGTCCCGACGATTCGCGTCGCTCCAGGCTCCATTTGGGATCGTGGACTGCAAAAACAATTTGATAGTTGTTTAATATAAAAGCAAACATTAGGTTCAATCCCTAATATACACAAATCCTGAAGATGAAGAATAAAAACCAAAGTCCACGTCCTGATAACCTTCTATTTATATATTTAATTTGCCGTAGGCATGGTAGGGTATACTCACCTGATCCAGTCATTTCACAATTTCAAAATATTTTTGTTTGTTTACACTGGAAAATAATCTGAAAGGAAACACATAATAAAAATCGATTAATATACAGAGTTTACTATATAATCAGATTATAAACAACTTGTAATTGTTATTCAGTGAATGTATAGTGCAATAACCTTCAATGAATTTGATTTCATGAAAAACACAACTGAAAACTATATGAAGTACGACTGAATCGGATTAGTATTCTGGACTTGTACTGAATCTAATTGAAAAACATGACAACATGCACAGGTCACCTAGATCACCTAGAAAAGTTTATATGTATATATTTAGACTGTAATTATATGTACGTGTAAAATATATAATTTACAAGTACGTGGCGCGTAGCGCGTATACGGTCCGCCCTACGTTACGTTTGGTATCCCGAATTTACATTCACGTGACGCCAGCCCCCCATTGATTTTGTTTTGCTTGCTGACGGTAGTCAATAGCTGTGTCAAGGTCTAGGCAACCGTAGAATACTGACAGGTGCAATAATAGGCCAAGAACGAATAATTTATGATGACTCACACCAAAATTCTTCGACGAAAGTTAATAGCTTCCTAGTAAGATATTAATTAAGTTTTAAAGTAAATTTCACTTAATTAATCACCAATTTGTAGATAGTCGATCTAATTTCGACAACGCGAGCAAATCAAAACTCTAAGGTCTAGCAGTACCGACTACACAATAGTCGACACAACTGGAGATTTTTATGTATCGCTGGTCTATGACAAAATACATTTTCGTTTTGGAATTTACACTAAACGCTATATTATAATTTACCATTTTCCACACTACTTAATGAGCGTTAATTGCAGATTTGTAGCAAATGCTAACAGTAAAGCACCTGCAAGTTGTATAGCTATACAGAGCTAATACATAGGTTTTAGTGAATTACAACGTTCAATTTTCATCTGCTGATATATAAATATGTACTCGATGTATCTGTTTCGCTGCAGTAGTAAAATATGGTTATTTACAATAGCTTAGATTCTAGATAGATCCTTTGGTAGCGACAGCAGACAGCAAGCACATTTATATGTATGTTTGTATGTATGTATGTATGTATGTATATGCAAATAGGCCGAATCTAAAAACCAGTCAGTCAGCAAATCCAGTTTCATTTCATTAATGTATTTTTTAATTCAAACATGTTTTTCTATATTTGGCTAACTGTAGGACTGCAGCTCCATTAACTGATCAGCTTATTGCTTAATAGTAGCTTGACAAAGTTTGAAGAAATCCGAAATTTACTTGCTACGCACATTTAATACAGCAAGCATTCAAACAATAGCTGAATATCAAATGTAAAATTGGGCGTAACCCTCATACAAGTCAAGCGATCAGTGACCTGATTCTTCAAATACATTCTTATTATCGCAACAAAATGATGCAGAATGTGATGAGCATTGATAATGTACCGAAATTTGATTTATATTGACGTCTAAATTGAAATTGGAACAAAGCGATCAGAAAGCAGATGCTCATTGATAGCCACAATCTCAATGATGTGCATGACGCAAGCCGATCTCAATTGTGGAAGCAAAAGCCTCTTCGTTCAAATACATTTCACAAGCAAGTCACAGTGTCGCAGAAGCATTTGTATTGGTTTTAAATTTAATACCTACAGATATCGCATGACAGAACAAAATGCATTATTTTTCTGTTATACATTGAATATATATACATATATATATTAAATACCCATAAATAAAATCGGTATAATAAATAAAATGCCCTTAAGTCATCTAGCTTTAATTTATGTACAATATAACTCATTCTCCTAATAGCGCTAAATAAATAACAATTTATACACATATGTATGTGAGTATATATATTTTCGTGTGTCAAAATGTATGCATGTGTGTGCGTATATATGTTTGTCAGTGTGTCTTTCAGCTTGTCAATGTTACATATTTTAGTCCTTCAGGAGGACAAACTAAATAAATATATATTTATTCAAAATACACGTAATGTTTTATATACATATGTACGTATGTATATAACTTGTATTTCTACTTTATACACACACACGGACATACTTATATATATATGTACATATATGTATATGCGTCTCCACACATTGACTTTTGGCACTTGATTTGTTTGTGTTTTTCCTTTGTTTAGCGTTGAACAATGCCGGCTTCATTGTTGTTGTCGTTCTACACGTTATTTTGGTTTTTGTTTTTGCTATTTTTTTTTAGCACATATCGCTCAAAAAACTTTGGCTGATGACAGAACCGTATATAACACACACATATCCACACACAGACGCACACACATACACACATGCATATGAGTGCTCCGCAGTTAACGACAAATAACCACGAATCAAATAAAGTCTCTGGACTTTGAAACGACTGCATGCTCTTGAACACTTACGAATGTGCATGCATACATACATGCATGCATACAGATATGTAAGAGTTATTTGCTTTGCCTATTATTACATATAGCAGCTAAAACAGTAACTGCATAAACACTAATGCGTATAAATATTGAAATAACTTTAAAATTTAATATTGTATCGATTCGTTTGCAGCAAACCAATACACACACATACAAGTAGCTATACACATCCCTGTTTTTATATTATATGCGTACATACATACATACATACATATGCATAGTCATACTTTAAATAGCTTTTGTTGATAACATTCACGAAGAAGGAAACGACGAACGGCAGCTGCAAACTTTGCTTCAATCAATGAACGCGCTATCCCCCTCTCCTACTTGTATCAGCTGATCGAGCATACGACCGAAAAGCACACAGTGAGGCCTCCAGTAAGATAACCAAACGTGTGGCGTATTAACTGTCGCCAAAATAAAAGCACACTTCCCTATCAATAGTCACTAGTTTACTATTTTAGGGTATTCATTTAGTATGCTGTGGGTCATCAAAAAGCTGGAATTCAGCGCGAAAATACATGGAAGCGAAACACGCGCCAGCCTCATCATTTGATAAGCGTACAAATACCTCTTTACGGTAATTAATCAATGTACATGTGTATGTATATATGTAGTTTTTTTTTGTTTTTGCATATTTACACGCAAACGTGGTTTTTGTCTCAAATTGTAGTTTTAAGTACGTTTGCCTTGCATATACATATGTATGTATGTACATGTATGCATGTGTGTACGATTTGCGTACATATACCAAATGTAGATATTCAATGATACATTTGATATTTCGGTCTCTAAATGCTGAGTTTCACTGTTGAGGCTCAACAACTTTAGAATCAGTGTTGATATAATTACGCTTACGTATGAAAGTATGTATGTATATAAGCAAAAAGTTATGAGCACAAACGCTTATTGTTCCTAAATATAATACTTCGAAATTTTTTTAAGTGTATGCATGTATGTAGGTGTGTTGATGTGAGATGTCGTGTATATATATAAAAATGGCGCGACCGTCAAATTATGTTAATCACTCTAAAGCACAACACGACATTCAAAATAATATTATTTTTCATATTATTATTAGTTCAAATGCATTTATGATTATTTACGAGTTGTACATATTTACGTACACATGTACATATGTTTTGAATGTATACAAATATTCCTAAGTGCACACACACATCCGCACAAATATGAGCTGATGTTTGTTTTCAGTTATTACCGTTGTGATTTTACAACTCGAAAATCGACGAAGGCCGAAGCAGTATTCAATAGTTCGCCAACAGCTGTTTCACGCACACATGCCCACTCTCTCGCCCTCACAGTCAGAGAGTGCAAGGTTTTATTGCAGTTAATTGAAGGGGGGCCGAAGTCAATCGTCGCCGATGAAGTCGATCTTGGAATTTTGTTTGTGCGACCACATTGACATGCACTACTTGCCGCTCCCAACTATCGAGGTCTAAGCATAGACACAGACTGCCGCTGCCTCGCTCCATTGTATCTATAGCTACCGGGCTAGAGCGGCCGAGGCCCCAGCGCTAGCTGCGAGCGGACGAGCGAGCAGACGAGCGAGCGCGAGCGATTAAAAAGAGCGAGGCACCGAAACTAGCTGTTTGGAGGCTCGGCTCCATAGTACAATTTTTTCTACGCGAGCTAACCAAACCAGCTGGCTCTGCTCACACACATACATAAATGAAGGTACACGCTTTTAAGTATGTATGCAAACACTATGGTACAATTAGTATTGAGCTGTACCAATGGTTACATATATTTAGTTTGGCTGCAGAAATAAAAAACTATCCATTTGAGTAAATTGAAAAAAGTCTTAGATTTTGAACTTCACGTGATAATTTGGATATTATCATAACAAAAGGGAAAAGTTATATGTATGTATTTATTGTCAAAATTATAGAAGCTACTAGAGAGTTTATTCCTCATATTAAATATGTTAATATCCATATAAAGCTTTTTGATTTTTTACAGATGTAAATTTCATGAACTAGTGTCATTTGAAAAAATTTTCTTTTATATATACGCCTCGCAAAGACGTAATTAATATTAAAATCTATTAATTAACCTGAATATTTCATTAAGATCATTAAGTAAACACACAATTAACTCATGTAAGCTATAGAGCTAAGGAAGAAGAATAGTCTATGGGTTTGTGTCGCGTAGGACCTTTTCTGCTTTAAACATAATCTTAAGCAAATTTCAATAACCTAAGGATTCCGAGTTTAAGAAATAGGACCCCAGAAGAAACGTATGAATGCTGGCTTACAGCCTTATCAAGCTCGAGTGAGTGTTTTTGTATCATATTAAGTTTATTTATAGAGAAGACCAACCACAATCAGCCTACCGAATTGTGGTAGTTTAAGAGGCCACAATAAGCCTAAATTGGGGATTCTAGATAAGATACACTAAATATTTGAGCCTACGCACAAGCCATATAGACAAAGACGAAATGCTCCTAATCAGGTGCTTCCCTCCTATTGCTATGGGTTGTGTTTTGTAAATATGCTTGTGTGAATGCTTTTATGATAATTGCGATTATATTTATACATGTACATAAGCAGAGGTGTGCATATATAGCTGCCAGTGCTGCCACCTATGGATCGTAAAAGCATGACAGAAATATGAATTTATATATAATTATTATATTTAAGATTTAATAGTATGTTTATACATATTTCAAATTTGTACAAAATATTAGTATTCGAAATTTCTATTGACTAAAATAAATGCATATATTTGAGGAAGAAGCTATAAACAAATAGAATTTTCGTCGCAATACCCGTACGGGCGCTATAAGCAGAGTCATAGCTGGATTTTCCTCTATACTAAAATCCAGGCAAAATATTAGGTAACAAAACAACAACAAAATTTTAGTGTTTTAGAGGAAAAAGCTATATTCTCATCACTGATGCACACATTCGTAATAAGTTTGCATACATGTTTGATTGCGTACACACGTACACACACACACACACACACACACATGTTTCTGTGTATATTTACATTTGTATTCCTTCTCTGAAAGACTCGAAAATCTTTTGTCACTTGCTCTGCTATTGTTGTGTCGAGTACGAATGGTGTGTGATTATTTTTCCAGTCAGCTGCAAGCACTGGACCTGGAGCCCAACGAACTCACAGCCAAGCGAGGCAGTTGATAAATGAGAATCAAATCAGAGGGAAAACAAGTGCCGTATATAAATATAGATTTGCTTTTAGTAATATAAGTTTCAGTTGGCTCAGTAATGTCCGAAACATCGACGTCTGGCCGCTCTCATTCCGAAGATCTTTCTAGGTAGCTATTATCACTTCCATTCGTTGAACTATAATCTCAATTTATAGGTCGTCCCATATGCTCCGCCAGTAACAATTGTCGCCTGCAAGAGATCTTGAAGGCTTGTGCCAACATTCAGTCACTGGAATCGCTGTCTCCGTACGCTCAGCTGGACAACGACATAAACGACACGTACGCCACGGCAGAGAATATGATTACTCCCGATCCGTACTCATTCAATGGATTTATATCGAACAGCACCTGCGGTAGCGAAGATGGCTTCACCGACATCGTTCTCGAGGAGGACAATCGCGTCTCATTAGCGTACGAAAATCTGTGCACCATTCCACGAAGACTAGCCGACAAGTTTGCTGCACACGTCAAGTTCCTCGATCTCAGCTACAACAACTTCCGGAACCTAAAGTTTCTTATGTTTTTCGAAGAATTGCACACGCTCATACTGGATCGCAATAGTAATTTGGATGTGAATACCTTCCCCTATATGCTCAACTTGAAAATTTTATGGTTAGTGAGGTAATTTTTATACACACAAGAATATATGTATATAGATGATATCGATATTCCAGGATAAATAACTGCGATATTTGCAACATAACAGACTGGATTCACCGAATAGAGCGACACTGCCCCGCGCTCGAGCAGCTTTCCTGCATGGGCAATCCAGGTATCCAGACGGCGTTCAAAAATCATGGCCCTGGCTCACCCACCACCTATGCTCGCGAATATATACTCCAAGTTCTACCCAATCTCAAATTCGTGGATGGTATTTCGCGTTACTCATTCAGCAGCCGAGATCCGAAAACAGAGCTCGACAAGCGATATCTTACAGCAGCAGGAGGACCCTCGTCTTCGTGTGTCTCCATGACAGGACAGGGTCACGAAGAGTCGACCAGCGCGTCTGAAAAGCCAAAGAGTACCTCACCCACGCTCAGCTTCAAAGAGCTCTTTCGACTCAAGTCTGTCAAAAAGGCGAAGAGTCCGTGTGGCTCTTCGTCCAACTGATATGCATACAAATATCTACATTATATATATATGTATATATATAGCTGCTGTATGCAGTTGTTGTTGTATATGTTGTTATAGGCCAGCCTTCGTAGCATATGCATATCAGTTCTCTTATAATGTTTACATAAAGACAGATCTCTTGAATCTATTTATATGCTATAATTAACTACGGGGATCTGATTTGTAAAGCAACCATTACATTAGAAATTTATAGATTGCTATGACATGACAGATAAAGATCAAATGAAGACAAGTTCTGAAATAATTAATATATTTCGTATGTCAACTATATATCTCCATAATTTTAGCATTTGAATCACTATGGATATCGTTTACAGGTGACCGACACGAGATTCTCGCTTTATTTTTGATTATGCATCTAAATTGTTTAGCTATCTAAGAAGAAATTTTGCGTATAAATATTGGCACACTTAACCATAAATTACAGTTATCAAGTTGTAAACTTATTTTTTTAAAACTTACTACACAGTTCTAAATGTATTGTTTTTATCAAATAATGTTTGTCATTTTAACATCAAAGACAGCTTCAATATTTTTCTCTGCATATAATAAACAAATTAATTAAAATTTTATATTTCATATACATTCTTGTAGTTTTATTTACGAGCTTACAAGTTTATAAGGGATCTGTCCAGCTGGTGGATAACACCATAAGAAAGTATAAAATGAAACTTTGATTCATATTGAACTGCAATCGTAGTATTAAGAGACATGAAAGTGTATTATTTATGTATATTGTTAGTGGTAGGTGCTTCAAAAAGTATTTGTCACTTTAAAGCATATTTGGAATAATTTACGTTCTGTCGGGTATTGCACCTATGCTAATCCGATCGGCAGTAGCTATGGATTAGTTCGACTTGATCTCCAGGTTTCCAAAAGCTGAATCCAATGATGCAATCCACTTGTCATTATTATCGATCGATGAATGCCGTGCGGTATGCTCCATGGCTTGCTCCAATGCCCATTGTGCCAGTTTTTGAGACTCCTTACGCTTCAAGCTAACGGCCTTAGAGTTTGCCAGATAGCTGCAGCACAAGAACAAACCATAAAGTGCTCGCAAGTTGTGCGGATTAAGCTTGATGGCCTGCGAGTAATACGTGCGAGCTATTTCAATATTTTCAACGCCACCCTGAAGATAATTATAGTGCATTAGGTATAACCAGAGAGATGCGAAAGAGTATGCTCAATTACCATGGTGTATCGAATGTCCGCAAGTCGCTGATGTATTAGATGACTGTGGGGATTATGGAGCAGAACCTCCTCCATACAAAAGGCTGCCTTGCCAAACTCACCCTCGGCCAGATACAAGTTGCAGAGTTCCTGCCACGCTTCCTGATCCGACATGAATCTATGGTAATCATAATATTCATATGAGTCTCATTCATTAAAAACATATAGGTGCTTTTATACTTTTTGAGATATGCATTAAGTTCCTTAATGGCATCTAAACGAAGTCCGCGAGCTTTCATTATAGCTATTTTCCTTTTGCGCGGCGCCGCATTTGTCTCATCCTTTTCAATTATGGCATCTAATACTTCGTTGGCAGCATCGTACTGCTCAAGTGCTTCCAAGCGCATCGCCTTGAACTTCATCACACGCAAGCTACCTGGGAACTCGGCACTCAGCTGCTTTGTGCACTTGGTGGCAATGTCAAAGCGTGCGGTGTCCAAGGCAGCAACAATCACCTGCTCGAGTATCAAATGTCTTTCGTTGCCCGTTTTGTGGACTTTGTCCTCGAGCACGGCTACCCACAGTTGAACCACATCCTCGCTGTGGCGTCCAGACTCCTCACGCCATTTTCTAAACTGATCCCGCACATCTGAAAGTTCAATTCCACGTAATATTCAATTTAGCTTCGTTAATATTATTGTACATGCAAAATTTATCTTTAGTAAGTGGGTCACGCATATTTAATCAATGAAAAGAAACCAATAAGTTATCTACCAGTTCTGGTACTTGAAATATTTACCTGACCAACTCATTTCTTCATAATTTAGCGACATTTTTATTTAAACCCTTATAATTTATAAATTGTCAATTTATTAAAAAAAAAAGTCGAGTCAGAAGGTAATCGATAGGCAGCGATAGGTTTAAACGATGATTTTACTGATGCTTCGATAGAGTTTCAAAATGGCTTAACGATGAAAATATTGCATTTTCGATTTTTAAATTGAATATGTTATTCGTACATAAATATTTGTATAATAATTTCGTTGATTAAAAATAAAAATATTACTAATCTATTAGCTTGCTACACAATATTTTAAGTAGTACAATCAATGGTTATATGAAAAACGTTCAACGTATTGTTTTAATACCATCTACGAAAAAAAAAAATTAAATGAATATATTTGATTTTTTCGTAAGTTTGATTACACGAAGACCTCATAAATTAGTTGATAGAATATCACTAACGCTAAATATGTGTGGGTTGTGTGTTTTTAAAGACAAGGTGGCAATCCTAACAGCGAATGAATATTTTAGCTCACGTTAACGCCAGCACTTGATACGTTTGATTTGCTGCTTCAAAACCGTCAATGATAGTTTATTAGCAAAAGCGAAGGTGTTCATAACTGAACGATACAATTGATTATATACTAAGTGAGCTGCTGACCTTTCGACAAGTGGATCTAATAAGACACACTCCAAGAATGCCGCAAGAGGAGCAGGATGCTAAACAAACCTTTCTGGGGTTTGACTTGAGCACGCAGAAGGTAACGAGTAAACAATAGTTGATTTATAGCTTACATATTGTTTACTGGCTTGCTTGACTTTGACAAGTCCACCTCAGTTTTAAGGTGATAGCGCTGTTCGGTGATGGCCCAAAGACAAAAAGGTTATTGTGAAAGGTCAAATGCCAAACTTGGCATTAGTTGTTATCAATGAGAAATCAGTATGTTCTTATCGCTCAATGTGAGCATTCTTTATATTAAAATGCGTATTTATAAAGTTATTTGCATATGCATGCCAACTCAACATTTTACCTACATAACTGTTTTGACATGACGCAAGCATTTACAGTTAATTACCCTTCGGGTTGTCCTCTGCCAATGTTTGATCGTTAATTTTGAGGTGTGTCTGCCGCACTGACAATGACAATTTTGCTTGTTTCAGTTAAAGGCCATCCTTTTGAATTCAGAACTGAACGTTGTTGCCACAGCTGAGGTTAAATTCGATAGCGACTTACCGGAGTTTCGAACCATAGGTGGGGCCAACCCAGGCCCCAATAAATTCGAGTAAGTCAAACCCTAATGAACTCAAAGAACTCTCTGTGGCTAACGAAAGTCTAAATGTTTTAGATACTTTGTTCAGCCGGTGATGTGGGTTAAGGCAATGGACATTGTCTTGGATCGTTTAGTGATGCAGGAGGCAGACTTAAGCACTGTCGTCGCCATTAGTGGATCTGCTCAACAGCACGGCTCTCTTTACTGGTCCAAGCACGGGATTGCGGCTCTACAAAACTTAGATGCCGATAAGTTTTTGCATTCGCAAATCGACGACTCAGCGTTTGTCGTTAACCGAACGCCTATATGGATGGATGCGTCTACATTGAAGCAATGCTTTGAAATGGAGACGGCTATTGGTGGGCATACCGAAATGGTTCAGAAGACGGGCTCCAAGTGCTACGCGCGCTTCACGGGACCACAAATTCGCAAAATTTACCAGCAACGCACACATGCATATGAGGACGCACGGCGTATTTCGTTAGTCAGCAGTTTTCTGGCCTCGCTGTTTCTGGGAAAAGTGGCGTCCATTGACTACGCCGACGGCTCCGGCATGAATCTGTTGGATATTCGTAATAAGACGTGGTCAAAAACGTGTCTCAATGCTTGCGCGCCTGATCTGGAGGATCGCCTCGGGGAACCAGTCAGTGGATTTTCCATTCTTGGCAATGTGAGCGACTACTTCGTGCAGCGCTTTTGCTTTCCACCCACATGCAAAGTGGTTGCGTGTACGGGAGACAATCCGTCTGCTCTGGCCGGAATGCTTGTCGACAAGAACTGGCTGAGTATTTCGCTGGGAACTAGTGATACGCTTATGATGACCTTAGACGAACCCCCCAATCTGGAAGAGGGACACGTCCTATGCCACCCGACTGAATCTCATGAATATATGGGTCTTTTGTGGTAGGTAAACAACGATCGTTTAAAGGCTTATATCAGCCGTACATCAGAGTTTGCACAGATCACTAAAAATTGTTTCATAGTTTTAGAAATGGATCACTCGTTCGCGAAGCGTTTAACAAATCTGAGGCTGATAACAACTGGGAAACATTTAATGAACTGCTAGACTCGACGCCACGAGGCAATTTCGGAAATATGGCACTGCACTTCAATGAAATGGAGATCATACCAAAGGCCAAAGGAACGCTGCGCTGGAACAAGGATATGAACGGCAGTTCGCACGATGCAGCAAAGGGTGTTCTCAAGTGAGTGCAAAGAAGGAAACAATTTGGGTGGCAGAATTGAAGCTACTATTGGGTCATTTACAGATTCAGCTCGCCGCAAATTGAAATTCGTGCTTTAGTCGAGGGTCAAATGCTGCATCATCGAGCTATTGCGGAGGATATGGGCTTCCACTTTGGCAGCCAGACTAATATCCTTGTTACTGGCGGTGCATCCGTCAACAAGTCCATATTACAAGTCATTGCCGATGTCTTCAGTGCACCAGTTTACACACAAGTAAATTAGAATTCACATTGCTTGAAATCGTATTTTTACGTTTGCTGCTTTGTTTTCAGAATGAAAGCGAGGCAGCCCTGCTAGGTGCCGCATATCGGGCAGCCTATGCGTACCATCTGCATCACAATAGCAACACGGAGTCTATCAAAAGCTATCGCGACTACATCCTGGGCCAGACCCCAAACCATTTAAAGCTTGTTTGCGAACCTAATAAGGATAGTGGGTCCATCTACACGCCCATGCTGCAGAGGTATAGGGACATGGCTCACATCCTAGAGAGCCAATTAACTCATTAAACCAATTCACAAGAAACGATGACCACGAACTCAACAAATGGTCGTCCCCTCTTGGTACTTTGCGTCCCACGATTTAGATGTCTGTCAAGTTTCTCAAATCCACATTCCAGTCTTCATTTTTTATGACGTCATATAAGACTAAAGTGCAATTAACAAAAAAATTTCTCTGTGATTAACCATTTTTATATTGATCGATTAAGATTTCACAAAAATTAAAGTTTTACATATGCAAAATGTATTCTAGTATCGGGCGCAAGCTGCTTACTTTTTCCGTCCGCCGCGCTCCTTGACCTGCAGATGCACCGTAGTGCCGCTTAGCAAGTTGTAGAATGCCATGGTATTGCTATCCTTAAAGAACATACCCTGCAAGATAGAAATGCAATCTGGGATTACGGCATTTTGTCAGAGCTAAACATGCAAATCACGCTTACCTCGTAGAATATTTTTTGTTTTGCAGGTGGCATTCCCGTTTCGTCCTGCAACTTGGATTTAAGATTCGCAATGGGATCAGTAAGCGCAAGGGTAATAGCAATCATCTGCCCATTTAGCTTCCATTCCGATTTGTCCGTGCTCGGCACTTGCACCTGTATGGTCACAGGACTCTG